CTGTGGACAAATATTTCTTGTTGTATGTAATAAAATTTATTTAGTTCTTTTACAGTTTAAATTTGTGTACTAAATATTTCAAAAATTCTCAGAATAAAATAAGTAATTATTTCAACGCCATGCTCCTGATACCAAGCTGAAAAAAAAAATTAAAATATTGGTAATTTTTCTTTTTTTACCTTACGTTAAGCAGTAAATAAAATACACTTTGTTTCCAATGGTTTCTATTCAAATTACTTTTTTGTAAATCAATTTGTACATCAACAATACTTAACCCTGAAAATAAACTACTCAAAACAACCAATATACTGTCAGAAGTTAATTAAAACTTTTCTAATCTATATTATCCTTAGTTGAGAACCAATCCTTTACACAAGCGAAGATGAGTGTACTCTAGAATCTTAACAAGCAGGTACTGGAGCCCATCAGAGCTCATTTTAACAGTTGTAACTGGGACTGCCCAAGCTTCCTCTCTTGGCATATTTACATAACAAAATTTAATTTAAACATGCTCAACAAAAGAATTTAAGCCTTAAAGTAACCAAGTCGCAAAGTACATATCTATCCTTAGTTTCATCTATAGCGTGTTACTCACTGTCTTATGTTCACATGAAATCCATACTTCTATGTGACTTGGGTGTCACCCACACTCCTTTGTGTACATTTTCACCTTTCTCTGCAGAAGGCAGAGGGATACAAAAATCTTTTTTTTTTCTTTCCTCTTATTTATTTCCCATCTTTAATTTCTTTTCCTTTCTGGAAACTGTTTCGGTTTAATTTTATAGATCTTAATTATTTTGTTTTATTTATATCTTTCTGGCAAAACTCAATTTTTTAACTTCACACATAATTTGGCATTGTAAGCATTCATTACATTTATTAAATTGACCAAAGATAACGTAGCAGCAGCATTACCGAAATACACGAGGAATTCGTTTTCTCAAGATATAAACCAATAGGTAAAACATGGCATAATCAACTTGGACAAACATCAAACTACGCACAAAAAAAAGTTAATTTGATATGATAAATAAAAAAGCCATACAAACCAAAAGAAAAATGATGGCAAAGAGAGCAAACATACTGCAGGAAATTATAACGGGCAACTGCCTTGATGACATGTGTCTTTGAAAGAAATTCCACATCCGATCATCTTGGATTCCTTCAACAGCAAATGCAATCTATAAGGAATACATTTATATTCGTCAAACTACATGTTGAAATAGTGATAATACCTCAGGATGTCAAACACAGATGTATAAATCAAATAAGGAAATTGTCATCTTTAGTGAAAAATATTAATAAAAACAGAATATCTGCATATGATGATAACCTGTTTCAGGTTGATAACTGATCATTAGCTATACTGTAGTAATGATTAAAACCTCTCAGAAGTGAACTCTTAATTCTTACTTAACATTCATATGTTTAATACATACTCAACAAATTTCATCAACAAAAAACACATTTTTTGACTAATAGTTCAAGCCCTATATTAAAGAGGTTTAAGTCAGCAGTCCAAATGTTTCATGAATAACTATCAAAACAATGAATAATTACTGCACATGCATCATCACTATTTGAATCACTAAGTAACTGGACTTCTTTGAAAGATGCCTTAAGTTTGTTTGTTTTGAATTTCGCGCAAATCTACACGAGGGCTATCTGCGCTAGCCGTCCTTAATTTAGCAGTGTAAGACTAGAGGGAAGGCAGCTAGTCATCACCACCCACCGCCAACTCTTGGGCTACTCTTTTACCAACAAACAGTGGGCAACGAAGTCTATGTAACAATACGCGTGTGTACACGTTGGGGCATTGTAAATGCTTGGCCCGGCATGGCCAGGTGGTTAAGTCGCTTGACTCGCAACCTGAGGGTCGTGGGTTCGAATACCCGTCCAACCAAACATGCTCGCCCTTTCAAACGTTATAATGTGTGGTCAATCCCACTATTAGTTGGTAAAAGAGTAGCCCAAGAGTTAGCGGTGGGTGGTGATGTCTAGCTGCCTTCCCTCTAGTCTTACACTGCTAAATTAGGGATATTCTCGGGTTTGGCATGGGTTGGTGGTTCAGACGATTGACTCGTAATCTGTGAGTCGCGGTATTGAAGACCGTCGTCGAAAATTATCTCCCTTTCAGCAGTGACGGCTTTATAACGTGACGTAAACTGTAGCCCAAGAGTTGGCGGTGGGTGGTCTGTCGCTTGAAAATTAGGGACGACTAGGACAGGCATTGCGCGAAACCCAACAAACAAACAAGATATTTGCTACAGTTTAAAATCACTCTATCGAAAACGAATAAATAAAAGGCAAAATAAACACCTGGAAAATCAAATATATATATATTCAGTACGCTTCTGTGTATTTTAAGTTTTTGTTTTAATTTAATACTTTTTGTGGTTACCGAAACACAGATGGGATTCTAGTTCACTCCCAGGAACTTTGGTACGTTAGTTGTATCGTAAAGTCGGCTTTTTCTCCTAACACAGAGCTTAAAGAAGAAACTACTCTTAAGAAATATAAAAAAAGAACAACAACCAAAAATATGAAGGTAAGTAACTAAA